TCTCTCTCTCTCTCTCTCTCTCTCTCTCTCTCTCTCTCTCTCTCTCTGCCTTTCTCTGTCTCTACTACCTCTCAACTCCCCTCCCCGTGCCCTGAATAAACTCTATTCGATACTATATGGTCATGTGGCTGGTGTCTCAGGGGGAAGGGGCGCCTCAGCATGGGCCCGCGGAGGCACCCCTTACCCCACACCTGACTATACCTCCACCGAACATATTCCTTCTCTTCTTATCTTTTCATAAAACACAACAAATATAAGAGCAACTAAAAATGACAGAGAAGTCTTTACAGGAAACACTAGTCTGGACACTACTCTCTTCTCCAGGAGTTCCCTGTATGTGTCTAAGCTTCGAGAGAGCCAAGCTTGACCTAGACGGAAGGATGTAGCCATGGAATCAGCGGAGCTCTTGCCAGCCCTGCAGCTGGCAAGACTGAGTCTCCATCCTGAATGTACAAAACCCTGTGAGGAATGCAGTGAGCACTCAGGGGTGTGGGGTGGACTACACTGAGATCAAGAGAGAGAGTCAAGAGAAGAAGCCGAGCCAAGCCTGCTTTGTCATACCCAAAGATAAGGTAAGCCAGGTCTACCTAGGTCCCCTCTCTAGCCCCTCCGGCTCAGACCCAGCTGAAAGAGGTGAGAAAATACATGCTGGGGATGGGGTAGGGGGAACAATGCCTCTGTAAATCCTCACAGATCACACACCATCCAGAAAAACCTCGTTGTGTACAGTTTTGTTAAATGTATCCTGGTAAACTGTCATTTTGAGCCTACTTTAAAGCCAGCTCTGGAGCAGGGTGACTCACTCCCAGTTGTGTAACACTGCCCCCTGTTGTAACTCAGGCGTATTTATTCTCAAAAGATCCTCTAAGATCCCTGTCCTGAGTCATACTGGTCCCCAAACTCTGCAGGGAGAACAGGAAAACAACAAAACAGTCCAAGAAACCCACGTAGCCAGCATCGCTCTAACACCAGAGCCAGACGATGGTACCACAACAAAGAAAAACTACTGGCTAATATTCCTGGTGAACAGAGATGCAAAATTCCTCCATCTGCTCAGAGAGATGGCTTCATTAACAAAGTCAGTGTTCACTGCATAAGCGTGAGGACTCGAGTTCAATTCCCAGAACCAGTGCAGACAGGTGTGTTACTAAATCCTCTCTACATGGAGTAGGGGTGGAGCTGAGGCAGGCCGATCCCTGGGGTTTGCTGGCCAGCTGCCTGAGCCAAGCTGATAAGCACCAGACCAATGAGAGGGTCTGATTCAAAAGACATCTGTCCTCCACATGCACACACTCACATGTGCACACTCACAAACACACACAACACACAAGAACATATCTTAGCAAGCCAAGAAAACAACCAGGGAAAGTCTAAACATTGGTCTTAGTGATGACTCCTTGACCAGAACTCCAAAAACACCAACAACAAAGGCAAAAACAGATTAGCAGAGCTCTGTAAAAGCAGGATTACTTGGAACTAAAAGCTGCTTGGCTGGTTAAAGGTGACCTATGAAATGGGAAATGACACCATACATCTAACATGGGCTAACCACTAAAATACGTAATTCCTGCCACCTAATAGAAAAAGCAGATTTTTTTTTAAAGACAAATAACTTGAATGGACATTTATCCAAATGAGATGTACAAATGGCCAGCAGGCTGCGGGAAGACGCTCAGCACAGGGAGCCAGAGTACACCTCACACTCATCAGCATGGTTATCAGAAAGACAGGAGATAGGTCAGAGAACATGCCCTTATAAGAATGTAAACCTGGGTAACTACTCTGAAAACACTGTGACGCTCCTCAAAATTGATTATTTTCAAAAAAAAAAAAAACAAAACAAAACCTGAAAGCATGTAGTTAACCCATTTGGAAGGCAGAGGCAGGAGAATTGCAAATTTGGGGCCAATCTGGCCTACACATTGAGCCCCTTTTACACACACACAAACCAGATCATTTCCCCCAACTCCAAGATGTAAGCATTATTGGCAATGACCAAAACATGTAAACAACCAAAAGATGAATTCAGGCAATTCACCTATAATGGAATGCTCTTCAGCCTTACAAGAGAAGAGAATTCTGTGACTATGACAATAGGGGTGAACCCTGAAAACACAAGGCTCAACAAAATGAGCCAGACATAGGGCAAACTGCAGCATCTCATGTCTAACACGAGTTCATAGAAACCGACCAGGCACTGAGGAGAGGAGGCACGCTGCGAGATGGCAGGGTTCAGGGCTGAGCAAGTGTAGCTGACGTAGGAGATCGCTGGGATGAATTTCACGGCTCGAATGTTTGGAGAAAGAAAACAGGGAAAAGCGCATCACATGATCCCAGGTGTACAAAGTGCAGAAACAATCCGTGAATTTAGAAGCCAAGCCAAGAAGAGTGGTGCCCACCTGGGACCCAGTATGGAAAGGACAAAAGGCCAGCCTAGGCTATCATAGTGGCATGCTATCATTACAAAACAACAACAACAATAAATTCAGGATTCAGAAAGATGCTTAGCTGGAAAAAAAAAAAGTACTTCCTACAGAAGCCTGAAGTCAGACCCCCACCACGGGCACTAAAAGCCAACACAGCAGTGCACACCAGTGCCCCATGCTGGGGCGTGGAAACAGGCAAATCCCTGAGGATCATTGTCCGGCCCTCCTAGGCAAATCAGTGAGCTCCAAAATAAAGTGGAGAACAAGTGGAGAAGCCAGAGTTGATCTCTGGCCAATACAAGTGAGTGCACACATGGGCATGTACCCACTAGCATGTGCACACACCTGTACAGACCTGTACATATGCCACCACACATACACATAGACAGAAAAAGGAAAAGAAGGTCAGGGCCTGGCAAGCTGACCCAGTGGGTGAAGGCGCTTGCCACCAAGCCTGCCAATTTGAGTTCCACGCCAGGGACACACACAGTAGAAGGAGAGAAGCATCTCCCACGGTTGTTCTCTGACCTTCGCGTGTACTCCGTGGCATGCACCTCCCCTAATAAATGTTAAAAAAAAAAAACCCATATTTTAATTGGGTTGGTAGTATTTCCTAGAGAAAAGCTGGTGGCAACCAAGATAGTGGTAGCTGTACAGGTACATATATGTATGCTCTGGAAATTCAGACTGGGACACTTTAAGCTTGTGAGTTTTTCTTTATATATAATACCAGAACTGTTCTTATTTTCTTTGTTTTTCGGATTGGTTTTAGGGGGCTGTTTGTTTGAGACAGGGTCTCTCTGTGTAGCCCTGGTTGTCCTGGAACTCACTTTGTAGACCAGGTTGGCCTCCAAGTCAGAGACCCACCTGCCTCTGCCTCCCAAGTGCTGGGATTAAAGGTGTGCGCCACCACCACCTGGCTTATGCTTATTTCTTAAGAGAAAAGAACAGACCGTACCAGTTATACAACTTTCTGAAGCTCACCAGCACAAGCCAAGCAGGGTGGCTGAGTGAATGCGTGGGAGGACGGTTGATGGCTAAGTGGATACAGCTGGACAGATTGGCATCTTGCAAGATTCTCTGAGCAGCTGAGACCCTCCTCCCCACAAGGCATCAGGGTAATGCCAGGTGTGTTCTGTCAGGGACAGAGACAGAAAAGGCTGTGCTTCTGCAGCACCCATACCTATGGTATCACCACAGAGATTCCAAGCCTTGACATCCCGGTCCTCGCTTGCACTGACAACCAGCCGGAAGGAGTCCACATACAGGATATCTGTCACGCTGTCCATGTGGCTACTCCAGGTAATCAGAAGTGGTGGAGGGACCAGAGAAATGGTCTGTCCTTCCACAACCTGTAGGGGGCAGTAGAGAATGACTTACATCATGCTATCATTCAAAATCCTTAGCATGAAGGTTGTCAACCTGTGGGTTGTGACACCTTTGAGAGTCACATATCAGATATCCCGTGTCTCAGATACTTGCATTATGATTCACAACAGTAGCAAAATTACATTTATGAAGAAGCAATGAAATAATTTTGTGGTTAGAGATCACCACGACATGAAGAACTATATTAAAGGATTGCAGCATTAGGAAGGTTGAGACCCGGTGCCTTAGCAGGTACCTATAGGATCCAGAGCAGCAGAGTCCAAGGAAGGGCCCCTAGTCACCAACCAATGAACCACCTTTGAGCTCTTCACATTAGCCTGCCACTGCTGACATGTGATAGGTCTAAGCACTTCTCTGGCCTCATGGGCCCTTTGTTAAAGCTGTCAGAGTCATTTCCACTTGTTTGCTGAGAGCCTGTACTGCATACGGTGACCATCTCACTGGAACCTCACAACCCTATAGGCCAAAGAGCATGGCCGCCATTTTACTGAGAAGGAGTAATCAGAGATATTCAGAAGTCGGCCTGAAGCCACAGAGCTGAAAAGCGATGGACTGGAATGTAAGCCTGCGTGTCTGCTAACTCTCTTCAGCCGAGCACTCAAAGGACAGACGGCATGGGGCGGCTGGGGATATAGCTGACATCACATTAGGAAGAAAAGGACTCTATGTAACTGAGAAGTGACTGGGGACCACACGTGTCTGCGCGTGTGTGCATGTATACGGTGCACATATGTATTTGCATGTTTGCCTTTGTTTTGACCCATATGTGTGCACGAGCACATGCATGTAGATGGCACAGGTGGAGGCCTGAAGTTGACCTCTGGTGTCCTTGATCTCTCAGGCTCTCTTGCTGAACCCAGAGTTTGCCAGTCCCAGCCGGTCCCAGCCGGTCTAGTTAACAAGCTCGCCCCAGGGATCCCCACTGCCCGCTCAGCTGTCAGATGGGTTCTAAGGATTCAAAATCCTCAAATTTAAGCAGCAAGTATTGTATCCACTGAGCCAACTCCACAGCCCCAACCATTTTGAGATAAAACAAGACCAAGGAAGGGACATTTCTTCGGCTATAAACAGGAATGGTAAGTCAGACTAATGCAAACTATAACCCACCAACAAAAGACTGCAGAGAGCTCAGAAAGACTCCTAAGCAGATGCAAAACCCTGGTCTATAAGAACAGAATCAGAAAGTATGGTTCAAAAACAGGGTCGGGATACCGAAGGGATATTGAAAGAAAACCGACCACTCTCCCATCTGAAACTAAAATCAGAACTTTTAGTTTGGGTTTTTAGGTTTCAGGCTTTTAGGTCTCATGAAGCCTCTGCTGCATCAAAACTGTCTCACAGGAGACTCTCAGAAAAGTTTGCAGAACTGTTGTTTGTAATTTCACTACCCAGGGGAACTCACCCACAAAGGCACTTGTAGCTAGCATATGCTCTATGAGCCGGTCTGTCCCTGATTCCATCCCTTTACCTGCTTTATTCACATAGCCCGTGTCTCCAGAGTTTCTATCTCTTATTGACTTAGTTTCATGTCTTCCTTAGATTTTATCCATTTTCTTTTTTCACAGTAAGAAAATTAGACCCAGTTGGTGTTGGCACACACTTTTAATCCCAACACTCAGGAGGCAGAGGCAGGTGGATCTCTGAGCCAGGCTGATGTACAGAGACAGAGTTTCAGGACAGCCAGAGCTACACAGAAAAACCCTGTCTAGAAAAAAGATAAAAACAAAAAAAAAAATAGAAACTGTTTTAATGCCAATAATAAGCAAAAACTCAAATAAACATACATGATTCTAGGCATGGCTCTAGAAAGTGAAATATTATCTTACTAGAAATCCTGATTGCAATTTGCCGTCCCTGAGATGTGAGCACGGTGTGCCATACATAGTCTACAGCCCCCTAACAAAATAAAGGCTAAAGCAATATGAGACTCTTGTGCATCTAGGAAAATCTCTTGAGAAAGCCCAGTGCCCTTCTAATGATAAGAACTCTCACCAGCTTAGTCGTGGGGAAGGGTCACTCAGCAGGGCAGCACCAGCACCAGCAAACTAGACCAGCTTATAATGTGAGACTCAGCATCGTATAAAAGCCTTTCCTCTCAGGTCAGGAGAAAGACAAGGATGCTGCTCCCCTTCCTATTCTACATGGTAATTAGTGGTCCTGACCTGAGCAAGCAGGCAAGAGTGAGAAAGACAAGGAATGCTAGTAAGAACGGATAAATGCACTGTCAGCTGACTCAATGGATGACAGAGACCCTAAAGACTCCTCTCAAACACAGAGATGGTAAAGAAATTCATTAAAGTTACAGAACACAAAAACCAAGGCCAGTCTAAGCACTCTGTCTCAGCCAACAGAGCAGAGCCAGATGTGGTACTGCCATCCCAAACCTCAGAGATGGAAGCAGGAGGATCAGGAGGTCAAAGGCCAGCCTTGACTACATTGCAAGTTCAAGTACACCCTGGGTTATTCGAGACCCTGTCTCAAAAATAGTAAAGAAGAAAGGAAGGAAGAAAGAGGGGAGGGAGAGGAGAAAATCAACATGCAAAAGTCAGTAATATGAGATAAGATTCAGCTAGGTATTGCAGTACTTGCCTAACATATAAAAAGCCCCGAATTCTATTCAGACAGACACAGGAAGAGCAAATGCGGGTGAAATGCAGAGAAAAGTGAACATTCACACAGTCTGAGTAGACATTAAATCTTCACAACCACAATGAGCACAATACAAAGATTTCTCAATGGGACCGCCACGCCATCCAGCAGCCATATTCCTGCACCACAGTCAGTGGAACCGAGATCAGGCTGCAGAACGTCTCTCCTTCCCTGCTGACCATAGTGTTACAATAGCCAAGATATGGGAGTCAGATGAGTGCACACTAACAGACTGGTAGATAAGGAATGACTGGTGTGAATACACATGGACTCCTATTCATCCTGGCAAAAAGAAAGAAAGGAAAAGCTGTCATTTGTCATAAAAGGTAAATTCCACATAACCTCATGTATTTATAGAACGGCAGGGTATTAGTAAACAGATTCTATGTATGTGGAATCTTTAAGAATGTATATATGTGTATATGTGTATACACATATACACATAAATACATTAATGCATGCCATGGAAGCAGGAGGAGGACTTTAAGGTAAAAGGAGGCAGCGAGCAATTGAGGCGGGGGAGATGAAGGGGGAGTAGCAGGGGCAATATGAACAAAGTATGATAAGAATTCAGGAAATGTAATCAAAGCTATTATTTCATACATTAAGTAAAAATTAATTTAAAATATCAATAGGAAAAGAAGATACAAAGTTTCAGTTGGACAGGAGAAATAGCTTTAAGATTTACTGTGTAAGGCCAATAATAGAATGTACGCTTAAAATAGCCAAGAATATAATCAAAAATACACCCTTTGAGATGACCAAGAGTAAATTTCAAATGTCTTATCACAAAAAGAAGCAAGCAGGTGATGAATATGTTAACTAACATGATTGGCACACTGCACTATGCAAATGTGTATAATTTTGATTTTTCAGATAAAATAATGTTAATAAAATTTTAAGGGAAAAGACTATTTGATGATGATCTAGTGCAGAACACAATCTCTTGTAAATGCCTCACCACATGGGTGTGAGCATGCTGGCATTCACAAAGCCACATGGGTGTGAGCATACTGGCCCTCACAAAGCCACATGGGTGTGAGCATACTGGCACTCACAAAGCCACATGGGTGTGAGCATGCTGACACTCACAAAGCC